ATGCAGGCAGGCAAAACACAGACATATGACACGCTGGTTATGCCCACAGATGGGGTTCACGTGTGCAGTATGTGTGTTGTCGAACAGCTTCAATTTACGAGTGGAAAATTGCTCCGTGTTTGTCTTCAAGGGGGACCGCAGCCTCCCCCCTCCTCTCTCAGCATTAAAGTCAGCCTGTGAGTGTTAGAGAGCATGAACGGCCTGATTCAACATTCCACGACCGGACTCCTCTTCATCAAAGAACTCCGAGGACAGAGCTGTGTCTGGGATTTCAGCTGGTAAGTTTACATTTGTTAATGTTACTGCAGCTTAATACGTGCATTGCTAAGAGTTAAACTAGGATCCATGTAACACTAACTTTAAGATATTAGTGTGTAGTTTTATTTTATCTATGTAACTAGCTAAACTCAGAAGCTAACTAAAGATTGGCACTACAGACAAAGCTTGTAAAAATATGCTCATCCATCCGGTCAGCAGGTTAAACAGTTCACCTAATGCTCACTGTTTATGCTAATCTTTTCCTCACAGGAGCCTCTGACCCTAATGTGAGGAGGACAGACAAAAGAAAAGTGAGATTGGGCGGGGAGGGGGGGGGGGATTTCACAGGACAGTCACAAACTTTGTTGTTAAAGTTTGCTGCTTTTAACTACAGTGGAGGCTGCATGGTGGAGGTAAGTAAACTGTAACGGATGTTCTAAAACAGTTAAGTCTGGTCATATGGCCATTCAAAAAACAAAACACAAAAAAATGTAGAAACGTTCCATCTTTCACCCAAAAGTGTTCTTCAGTCTGAGATACTGTATTCAGCTCAGTCTTATAAATAGCACCATCTCATAGTGGATCAAACAGTTTGCTGCTAAAAGCAAAAACCAGCTGATCACAAGGACCATCAGCCTAACAATGGATCATTAGCACTGTGATGGCTGTTTGCTATTCACAGGAGGCTGAGTGATACTAGCAATAACAGCGTTGTAAGAGGGGGATAGTTGAACATGGAGGCCTCCACCCCTGTTTAATGATGGACGGTTTCTTTTCACAAAGATGGCCTCCTTTACTCCTCTCTCAAACCATCGTTCCTCTCTGTCCAGGATGTGAACATCTTCATCCCTGAAAGAGTGACTGCTGGCCTGGAGATGAGTGTAGACCACAGAGTCCTGGCCTGATGGTGTTGCTCTTCTGTGCTGGTCCATCCTTTTGGCCAGTGGCTGTTTAATTTCCCCGATGTAAGCCTGATCACCCTCCTGACACTGAACAGCATACACAGTATTACTCTGTTTGTGCCGGGGGACTGAATCTTTGGGATGAACCAGCCTTTGCCGAGTGGGGGAAAAGTTTGGTTCGACTGCACAGTGGAGTGAGAATTCAAACGCAGCAGATCAAATGTAAACAAAATGCTATGAATATTGGTCCCCAACCGAACCATGTCTACCAGACTATCAGGTGTGAAAACAACCATAGACTCAGGAATATCTAACCAGGATAATCACTGAAAAATCACATCATGTTGCTTTTGATCTGTTTCATGTAGCTGTGTTCATGCGTGCTCATCTACTCACACAGACTCATGCTTGTGCTGCTGTTCGACGTAACGTTTTTATGCTATTAGTGCTTAGTGTATTATTTAGCTTATGTGTTTTAGTTCATATCTTAGATACCTTCTTACCTTACTTACCTTATTACTGTTTTTCTTTTACATTTTATTGTTGGATGCAACTGGGACCCTGCGTACATAATCTTGTTCCACCACATGTACCACATGAGATGCGAATGACAAATAAATCTCTCTGACTGACTGACTTTTATCTGTAATTTTCAAGTTTTGAATGTTTGTGTCATGACACACTTGCTTTAAAGTGCAGTGGCCACACATTACTGTCCCATCCTTCTCCTAGGACACCCATGGCTTTAGAGGAGCTTCAGACAGGGACTGACTGATTAACCTGAAATGATACACGTTAATACAGACCTATTTAGTTAGTATTTATGATTGTATGTTTCACTATTGTGGATATCTGCTGGTGTTTACTGACTGTAAGAACAGTCAGATGTTAGATACAGAGTCAGGATGTGCAATATGGCATAAAATTCATATCCCAATATCTGTTGTGATGAGAAGCTACACGCTAACTATGGTCAGCTAGCTTCGCTACTTAGTTTGCGAGGAAAAGATACTTTAACACCATTTACGCAGAGTTTTCAATTCAAATAAACGTAACAGTAAATATTGCTTTTGACTTACTTCCACAGAAAACTTAGCTCAACTTAAACATGTCATAGAACAGTAAGCCATGGCAAAAACATGCTAGGAAAACAATTGCTGTTACTCCGTTCAACCGCAGCCATCCTTCACCATCCAGACCCCCGCATATATCCCCAGGGGACCCTGCCTACCCCTACCTGCCTGTGTGCGCGTGTGCCTGTGTGCGTGCCAGCCAGTCACGCCTCATTGTATCCCTGGGTCTTTCTCACCCAACAATACCTGTGAGCGTGTGTGCGTGTACACGCATATGCGTCAGCCGCGGCTCATTCTAAATCCTGGGTTGTCCCGACCCCACGAGCAAGAATTGCGTGATTTATGGAAAATAACAACCCCACCCCTCAATAACAACCACCAACCAAACGAACCAAAAATCCCAAATTAAAGAAAAAAAATGTTGCTCCGCTCCATGTGGCTATCGCGACTGACGTCCGCTCCTCTGGTGTACGTGCTGAGCTGCGTGACAAAGCATGCTGAGTCGCCGAGCGATCTTCCACGCCCGTCTCAAGGAGGGCCAGAAGAGGCGCCCGTCGTCATCGAGGAGAGCCGCGAGAGCGATGAGGGTCGCGTGTGTGTGGGTCACTGTGACCCCCCCTTTCCCCCCGCATGAGAAATTACCATGGAAGCACAAAGGTTATATGTTATCTTTGGAAATCTGACGTTCAGCCCTTTAATTTGGACTGGGGAGCGTTGTCATATAGAAGAATGTTGAGATGGAGTACCGGTAGCTTTTGTATTAGCTTTAGAGCTAAGATGTTTAGTGTTAGCTCCGAAGCTAATAGCATTCAATCCAGAGCTAAAATGTTTGAGCTTATACAGTAGCTCCAGAGCTAATAAACATCCAAAGTTGATCACATTTGATCCTTTCGACCCATGTATTGATACAAAATACAACTTTATTGTCATGTCATGAATTTATTATTTTTAGCCTCGACTCTGTTTCACTCTCTCCACTACAACCAATGTACAGTACATCATCGCACTACAATGTAGGCATTGTATAATACATACAACAGCAGTGCTGGTAAAATAGGCGACGATGGGTAATTATTATTTTTTGATTAATTATGAGTTTTTCCATCCATCCATCCATTTTCTTCCACTTGTCCGGGGTCGGGTTGCGGGGGTAGCAGCCTAAGTAGGGAGGCCCAGACTTCCCTCTCCCCAGCCACTTGGGCCAGCTCTTCCGGGGGAATCCCGAGGCGTTCCCAGGCCAGCCGAGAAACATAGTCCCTCCAGCGTGTCCTGGGTCTTCCTCTGGATCTCCTCCCGGTGGGACGTGTCCGGAACACCTCACCAGGGAGGCGTCCAGAAGGCATCCTAACCAGATGTCCAAGCCACCTCAACTGGCTCCTCTCAACGTGGAGAAGCAGCGGCTCTACTCTGAGTCCCTCCCGGATGATCGAGCTTCTATCCCTGTCTCTAAGGGAGAGCCCAGACACCCTGCGGAGAAAATTCATTTTGGCCGCTTGTATCCGAGATCTCATTCTTTCGGTCACAACCCAAAGCTCGTGACCATAGATGAGGGTAGGAACGTAGATTGATCGGTAAATTGAGAGCTTCGCCTTTTGACTCAGCTCTCTCTTCACCACGACAGACCGGGACAGCGCCCGCTTCACTGCAGACGCTGCACCTATCCGCCTATCGATCTCACGCTCCATTTTTCCCTCATTCGTGAACAAGACCTAATTAGGAGTTTTTATGTGTCACAAATAACAACTTTTAGTAGACTAGAGAAATAACAACATGTAAGACCAATATGTGCAAGTAGTCAATATCACTTGCTGGGATGTGTATTAGATTGCATCTCTTAATAGTTAAATAATTTTAGGACATTCCCCCCCCCCCCCCCCAATGTTGGAATAGCTTCCAAACAAAAACAAGAATGTAATTAAAATCTCAACATTTGACACTTAGTTTTATTGCTAAGGTATAATTATCGCGGTGAGGCAGAGTTTATGGATGAAACGTAACCGTGTTACGACAGCTCTGTGTAACAAGTGTCGCAGGGACTATGTGCCAGGCTTTGGGTTTGCTTTCATACAAAAGGAGGTATCTGCCTTCACTGACCTGGATAGGAGCACATTAACAAGAGCAGTATCGATTTCTGTTTGTATCGTCTTTGGATGTGATGACGTCACCTCCGTGCTGCATTTCAGTCCGTCTCTTTCATCTGGAGCGCAGTTGTTTGACCGGTTTGACGGTTAGTTAGCACAGTGGGAACTGCTTATAGAAACTATCACAGCTCAGGCAGAACGGTGTTTTTTGGATACATTTGTTTTTTAGGTTTTTTAATCTCCGCTTTCCGGCACCCTTTGCTCAGTGAACTGTGGTAACGTCAGCATTAGTTCGACGCATCAATATGTTCTGAACGAAGAAGAGTTGCGCTACAAGAAGCTCAGGAAGACAACCGGAAGTTGGAGGATTTTACCTCGCGTGGCAACAGCCGCTCCAAGAAACAACTTAAAGTTGTTTGCATGCAACTTAAAGTTTACATTTTACTTCGGAGTCAGAGATAAATTCGTGAGGATAATTGTCACCCTCCTTTATATTTTTTTATAAGACGACATTTCTTGTGTTGTTGCTGCCGTGAATGCTTGCTTTTCACGAACCGTTTGTTCGTTTTACTTTGAAAGCGGTGAGCGGAAGTGGAGCATGGCCTCACGTGCGTGGACGTTAACAGGAAGTGGGATGTGGCCTAGCAGGAAGTGGGATGTGGCCTGAGTGTATTTACGCCACAGACCGTTCATGAAGTAAAAAGCACCGGAACGGGTCGAGCGAAGGACCGAGCTGGAGTCAGCGGGCACGACATGTCCTGGTCCAACGGTGTCCATCATTAAAGTAGAGGAAGACCTCGATAACTGGAGGAGCTGCTGTTCTGCTCGACCATTTGTCCTGTCCAAACATTGCCTAGTTTTAAATTTCACTCAGTTTACGGAATAGCAGCATGTTAAGCATCAAATCGGCGACTTTTGACCTATTTTCTTAAAGTGGACCGGCTGTATCTTCACAACTTTACACGCTCCTCGGCTGATGATGAAGTCCTCTGTCCCTCTGGAGGACTTGGCCCCCGGCTCGGACCTCGTCCCCCTGAAGGAAGGCTCCGGGCAGAGAGCACACCTGAACGGCTGCGTCCCACTTTCACACCAGGTGGCAGGGCACAAGTATGGCGTGGATAAAGTGGGTGAGTTCACAGAAAGTTGAACCGGTCATTTCTCTGCTGTGATGCCGTTCCATGGCGGTGTTCTGGTTCTCCATGTCCGTCCAATGTTCAGGTTGGAAAAGGGAGAAACCTCTTCAATCTCTGGTGTTCAGCTCTGGGTTCGGATCTTTAATGAAAACCTCTGATTTAAATTTCTGCTCGTTTTCTCACATACACAGTTTTTACTGACATTTTATAATTACTGAGTCGGACTATGTTGTAGCATGGCAGTCACCTCACATGAAGGAGGTTGTAGGTTCAAAACTGCCGCAGCCTTCATCTGTGGAGTGTGCACATGTAGGTTTTCTCCAGGTGCCTCAGTTTCCTCCCACAGACTAAGAACATGCATGTTAATAAACTGTTCATTCTCTGTGAGGGCTGGTAACATGTCCATGGTGCACCCTCCTCGCACCCAGTTATAACCACAGGGTTCCCAGTGAGACTGGGAACCAGGGAAAAGCTGGAAAATATTTTCACATTTTCCAGACAGGAAACCCAGTGAAGCTGATCTGCTGACTCAAAGTTCATCTTTGTGGAATTCTAACACGGGGCAGCACGGTGGTGCAGATGGTAGAGCTGCTGCCTCACAGTGAGCAGGTCCCCGGTTCAAATCCCGGTCTGGAGGCCTTTCTGGGTGGAGTTTGCATGTTCTCTCCGTGCATGCGTGGGTTTTCTCCGGGTACTCCAGTTTCCTCCCACAGACCAAAAACATGCATGTTAGGCTGATTGGTAACTCTAAATTGTTCCTAGGTGAGAGGGAGAGTGAATGGTTGTTTGTCTCTATGTGTCCCTGTGATGGACTGAGACCTGTCCAGGGCGTCCCTGTGATGGACTGAGACCTGTCCAGGGCGTCCCTGTGATGGACTGAGACCTGTCCAGGTGTCCCTGTGATGGACT